CCTGGGTGCCTTCCCTTCCCAGAGGGAGGCTCTTTGGCAGCCCAAAAAGCCGGTGTTATCCTTGTCCCTCAGGAACTGTGTAAACCAGCCGGGATCTGGTTTGGTAATGGGAATATTTGCCCTTAGAGGGGGAGAGCAGGTGGGGACTCCGGAGCCCTGAGTGTCCCCGCTGTGTCTCCCCGCAGGTGACACACTGACTTGGCAGATGTTGCCCCGATCGACGTAGGACCCAAGTCTCTTGGGCCGAGGATGAGCAAGCCGACGGACCTGCAGCACGACCTGGAACGCAGCCTCCCAGCCATAGCCTCCATCAGCACCTCCTTCTCCCAGAGCCAGGGCTTCTCCCCGTACGGCTAATTCTCTCCGGAGAAGAGGAAAGCCATCTCGGACGTGAGGAGGACCTTCTGCCTCTTCGTCACCTTCGACCTGCTCTTCATCTCTTTGTTGTGGATAATCGAATTGAATGTAAGTTGGGGAAACAAATCCGCAGAGTCGTTGCCCTTTTAAGTTGTGTTTTTCCAGTTCAGTGCCCTCTACGTTAATTGCTCCGTTTCAGGAGTCTTGGGCCAAGTCTTTGTTTGTTCTTCCCAGCGCTCTGCTGATTTGCGCTGGCGCGGGAGCCGCTGCGCAGTTCGTGTAAAGTCCAGCTCGTTTCCTGCACCAGGGCTCTGCTGGGGCCGCCCAGGGTCGTTAACGCCGTCGCGTGGAGCGCTCTGTGGTGTTGTGTAACGAGATCTGGGGCCCGCGGAATCGCCAGGTTGAGCAGTTGGCCACATTTCTCCCCTGCTCCCCTCGAGCGAAGCTGCTCGCCGTGTTTGCCAGGCAGCTGCCGGCTTTGCTGCGGCGCCTTGTTCTCGGAGCGTCGGGGGAGCGAGGTGGGGTGTGCAGACCCTCCTCTCGCCCGCCCAGCTGTTGAGCAGAGACAAAAAGGCCTTTGAGCTTTGGTCCCGACATACTAATCTCAGCCTCTGAAAGCCGGAGACGCTGCTTCGCGGCACAGGGGACTAGGGAAGGGGAGCACGAGGGTTTCGATCCCCTCCGCAGCACTGCCACGCCTCTGCAGGCTGCAGCCTTTGCTCAACGTGTGGCAGTGCCCAGGGAAATCCCGTTTATTTACCCCAGTCCCATCAGGTCGGAGTTAATCCCTGGGCTGTATTTTATTATTTTATTTTTCCTGAACTGGTCCCGACTGGTTTCAGCCATGCTGGTGGCAGCTTTCGGGTACTCCGTGTCCTCCCGTGGAACAACCTGAGCGGAGAGGCAAGATGAACTGATAGACCCCAGCGCTCCTGCGTGCAGCCCGCTGGCGTCTGGCCTTTAGTTATCAGCACCCACCGGGATCCTGTGCTCGCTTAGCGGCTCTTATCTCTGCCCTCCTTATCTCCTGGGTGTCTGCACTTAACAGATTGCCTCGGCCAGCAGCTCCCTCGCCCTGCCCGTGCCGTGTTGAGAGCCTGAAGAGACCCCTGACCCCCCAGCTGGGAAGAAGCATCTGGGCCAGCATTCCAGTGATGCCGATGGTGTCCTGCACACCCCACTTGGACCCCGGCCTCCTGCTTTTGTCCCAGTGCTCTGGGCTCTCTGGAGAGCTGCTCTCTGCAAATCAAAACATCCAGCCCCAGGGAGATAATCTTCCCGCGCGGTCACCAGGGTGATTCTGAGCGTAGGGCTTGCAGGTAGCCATTATCGAGTGACTAACTGCTGATATTTGGGCCCTGAGCCGAGATGCTGCATATTTAAAGCTATTAGGACCTTGTTATGAAGAGCAACGATTTTATATCATGACTAATGCTTTTTTTATCAAACGGTTTCCTTCGCTGCGAGATAAGCGGAGCAAATTGGCCCTCGTTAAATGTCTGTTGCCTGCAAACTGTAATTCTGCGAGATTGCTGCTCTCGGAGATGGAGAGATGCCTCAGAGGGTTCTTCTTCCTCGTTCACGGCAGTGGCCTGTGTTTAAACTGAAAACACCTCCCAGAAACTGCAATCCAAAGCCTTCCCTGTTCCTCATTCCTCCTGCAGCATCTCGTATCAGAGTCGTGGTGCGGGGAAGAGGTTTTTCCATGGCAGCTCAGCAAAGCCGGCTGGCGCGAGCCATGTCGCCGCGGATCAGCTGGAGCGATCGCACGGAACTGCTTTGCCCCCCTCTCCCAGCCCTGACCTAGAGGGATCGCTTCCCGGTGGCTGCCTCTTCTGTCCTTGGGCTGGCTGACAAGAGGGTGCCAGGACACCAGCCTGCCAAGAACTGGCCTGAGATCCACCAACTTGTTTCTCACAGCTCATCAAACAGCTGTCAGCCTGCACCAGCGCCCGGGCCAGCTGGGCTGCATTCAAACCAATAGCCTAAAGGTGAAGCATTTGTTCCAGATACCTGAGCCATCCCCTTCCTCAGAAACAGCGATTCCAGGCTCCCGAGGACAGGATTTATGGTGTCAAAAGTACCAGGGCTGTGGGGCCCCAGATTGTCTGGGGGTGAGGCAAGAAAGCTCTTCTGTGAGCTTTGTCCGCGTTCCTGTACAATATCCCAGCGAGCGGTTTTGCTCTTCCTCGCAGTCTGTCTGTGTCTGTGTGTCCCTCTTCCTCCTCTCCTTCCTCTCCCCCTTTGCCGGGACGTTTGAACCTGCTGGTTGACTCCCTCCGTCAGATTTCCTGGAGGGCAGCGCAGCGCTGCTGCGAGCTGTGGGATGCCAGCTGGCCTGGGAGGAAGGCGAGGGAACCCCTCGGTACTTTGCACAGCGAGGACGAGCGCAGCTTAAATTCCACCAGGTTGCTGAGTGACCCCCCGAGAGCCCTCCCGGGGGAGATGTTCTGTTCAGCACATCACTGGAGGTGCTAGAGAAGCCGTTCCCGTGGTTCTCCGCTTGCTCTGCGTCTCCTCCCGTACAGCTGAAGTCTGTCACCCGAAGCCATGCGTGGAAGCGGTGGGCACGAGCGGGAGGCGGCGTCCGACCGAGGGCTGTAGGCTGTGAGAGCTGTGGTCGGTGCTGCTGGATGTGCTGAGCCAGAGGAGCGGCTTTTCAGCGTTAGAGAGCCCCCACGTAGAAGCGTTTAATGTACCTGCTGCTGCTGCAGCCCTCGGTGTGAAACCGAGGGTGAAATGGGCCGTTGTGTCCTCCCGCGGTCCTGCGCTGGCAGACGAGCCCGCGCCGTGCATGCGGCGGGCGTTTGTGTGCCTGATGCGCAGCCTGACCTGGCAGTCGCCTCCGGTCACTGCTTGGCCGGGTTCTTGCTGCCATTAGTTTCTTATCAGTGCACTTAATAGCCCTCTGCTTTCCTCTCTCCCCTGCAGACCAAGGATGGCATTCAGAAGAACTTGGAGAATGAAATCATCGAGTACAATTTTCAGACCTCTTTCTTCGATATATTTGTGAGTATCCCAGCCTGCTGCAGGTGAGAAAGCAGCTTTGGAGCTCGGAGCGGTGCGGCCGAGGGCTGGGCAGGGAGGCTCTGCGTGCCGGAGGGCTGGGGGCTCTCTGCAGCCTTGTCCCTCGCCTGGCTCAGCGACATCGGGCGGGTCGGAGCCCATCCTGCTGCAGCCCTGACCCCATCTGTCTCGATGGCGAGGTCCTCGGAGCTGGCCCGTGTCGGTGTCCTCCCAGCAGCTGGCACGGGGACAAGGGCAGTGACTGGTGTCGATGGCTTTTTTTGTTTTTAAAGGTCTTGGCTTTCTTTCGGTTTTTTGTCTTGCTGCTGGCCTATGCCATCGTAAAGCTGCGCCACTGGTGGGTCATAGCGGTAAGAAGGCAATTTTTGCTTTCCTGTTTTTAGTTTCTCTCTCCTCCTCATGTTTGCAGGGATCTGAGAGATGTAAATTTATTTTTCAGGTCACTACATTGGTATCCAGTGCCTTCCTGATCGTGAAGGTCATCCTCTCCAAGGTTGGTTGCCTGGGGCTTGCAGGGGATTGCTTTGTGATTACTGGACGCCGCTGTTTTCCCATTTGTATAAACTCCCCGTGGTTTCTACTTTCCTCCACACAGCTTCTGACCAAAGGGGCTTTTGGTTATTTACTTCCCATTGTTTCGTTCGTCATTGCGTGGCTGGAGACTTGGTTCCTGGATTTTAAAGTCCTAACTCAGGAAGCAGAAGAGGAACGGTGTAAGTGTTTTCCTCCTCTCTGGGAGGAGCTGGCAGGTCAGGGTCCCAGGCCTGGGGTAGCTGCTGCTTTGGCAGCACCTTGGCAGCGATGACATCTATGGAGAAGTGGTCTCCAGGCTGGCTGTGACGGGAAGTGCCTGACTCAATTCTGTGATGGTATATGAGCCCCTTCAGGGGAAGAAAATACCAGATTATAAAAAGCATCTTTTAATTGAGTGGAGAAAAATGTGCCAAACTCCCCAATGTCTGGATCCCGAAGCCAGACGTGTTGGAAACAGGGCTCACCTCCGCATCGCAGAAAATGTTTTGAAACAGTGGGACAAGTGCCAGGCGGACTGTTGGACTCTCCGGCTCTGGATAATCTTTGGATCCAGGCTGGAGACCTTTCGGAGAGGGTTGCTTCAGTTACAGCCACGTTACAGGGGCACGGCGTGAGTTACGGCGTGTGAAATTTCACAGCCTCTGGTCGCTGAGGTCAGACCGAACGGAGATTGAGTCTGACCTAATGCTTTACAAATGACCCTGCAGCGCCGGGCACCTGTAACTTCAGGGCCCTTCTAGGGAGCGGGTGCTCAGCCTGGCACGGCTACCCGGTCCTAGAGAAGCAGGAGGAGTTTGTCCCTCTTCCAGGCTGAACTGAGGAACTAGGACTGGGAAACGGCACGTAAACAGAGGAGGATTTGTCAAGCTGGGCTCCATCAGAAATGCGCTGACTGCCTGGAAAACACCAGAGGATGTTTGGGTCTTGCAAGGAGGCTTTAAGATGAAAAATGATCAAGTGTTTAATGCCTCTATTGGATTAGGCTCAGGTTTCAAATTGCTTCCAGGGGAAGCTCTTATTTAATTAGATGCTTAATCGCCTTTGGATTTGACAGGCAAAAGAGCCCATTGATCTCCATGCAGATAAAATGTCTCAAACAAAAGATGAGGCAATAGGAGCTGAAAAGCTTGTGGGCTGGCTGGTGTCGGTGCAAAGAGACCAGCTGTGGCTGGAAGAAAGTGGCTGGGAGGGTGGTTGAGTGGGGGTGGATGTGGTGGGGGCTGCAGGACCCCTCGGTGTTGAACTGTTGGACCCCACGTGTGTAAAACCCGGTGCTTCGCTTCGCAGGGTACCTGGCAGCCCAGGCTGCAGCCTCTCGCGGGCCCCTGCTCTACCCCAGAGCCCTCTCCGAGGGGCAGTTCTACTCCCCACCAGAGTCCTTCGCAGGTAAGGTCTGCTCTCCTGCCCTTCTGCCATCCCTTTGTCACCTCGCTGGCAGCCAGGCCACCTCGTTTCCCCTTGCAGCATTCCTTCTGGGTCTCCTAACCTTCGTCATCGCCTCCCCCTCAAGCTCCATCTCGTTATCCCGGCCCCTGGCAGTGGCAGGGGAGGGATGCCGTGCCGCCTCTGTGCCATCTGCGGAGAGGAGTCGGGCTCAGCCCCGTGCGCCTGGCTTCAGCTCTGCGGGAAACCGGAGCTTGTTGTGGTCTTGGGATTAAGTGCTGCAGCTCAAGTACTGAAAAATGCTGCCCTTGGGATGAGGGCACGGGGGGGAGTTGCCACAAGCAGGTGGGATACGAGCTGGCAGCAAGCCACTGCCCGGTGACACAGCTCTGGAGATGTCCCCTGCCTGGGAGCGAGGAGATGGCAGCTGGAGCTGTTGCTGTGGTGTAGCTGACATCCAGCTCGTGCTCAGCCTTCCCGAGAGCAGAGCAGCGCCTCGGGGAGGGGATCGGGGAGGCAGGGCTTGGGCTGTGCTGGGGTCACCCTTGCTGCCAGCCCTTCCCATGGGATACAGCGCGGGGATCGGGCACCGACTGTCCCAGGGATCTTCATCAACCGTCTGTTAATTGTGTGCTTCCCCTCCTAGGGTCGGACAACGAGTCGGATGAGGAAGGTGCAGGGAGGAAGGTGTTGACAGCTCAGGTAAGCAGCGGCCCCTTCCCCAGGGCTGCGTGCTTCCCGCAGGATCTCATTCCGGCTCTGCCTCCTGCCTGTGCCTCTCTCCTCTTCCCTCTTCAGTCCCCAGTTACACGGTCACATACCACAAACAGCCTCTCCTCCTCCATCCCCTCTGACCTTCGCCTCCCCGAGCCTGGCTGGGCGCAGGCTGCTGCTCTGTGCTCCTGTCCGAGCGGTTCTGCTGCTGCTCAGCCCCAGGTCTGGCACCTCCGCAGGGGGAGGCTCTGGGCATCTCGGAGCCCTTTGCCTGCTGGAAGCCCTCGCGTCAAGGCGGGGGGCTCGCTGGTAGGCGCAGCTGGTGTGTGGATAGAAGCCAGGGCAGGGAGTGTGACTTTGAGCTCCAAAATGAGGCCTCAGTGACCCAAATGAAGAGATTTCTGCGGTGCGGTGATGGGAGAGATCCCCTTCCCCTCTGCCAGCCCTGGGAGGGGGGCAGCAAGCCTCGCGTGCACGCTTCGGGCTTTCTGCAAACCCAGCTGATGAAATGCTCTCCTCTCTCCTAGGAGAAAGAGTATGTCCGACAAGGCAAGGATGCTATGGAGGTTGTGGACCAAATCCTCGCCCAGGAGGAGAACTGGAAGTTTGAGAAAAACAATGCAAGTGTCCCCCCGCCCCAGCTGCGGGGCAGCGCTGCCGGCAGAAAGCACGGATGGCTTAGCAAAAACCGGGGAGGACAAATGAGGCTTTTGAAACCTCCTTGCGACATGAAAAATTAACAAGCGTTACAATTACCTGATTGAATTAGGAATCTATTCCAGTTCAGTTGAATGTAAAATCCCCTCTTATTTAATTAGACGTTTAATTGCCTTCCTGTTTGACAGGAGAGAGCCCGTCACTCCTCCCTCTAGATGCAGGCAGGCAGGGGTGGACAGCTCACCTTTGGGAGGCGTTAGGACGTGGAGCTGTGGCCACGGTGTGGGGAGCAGCGGAGGGGACGCTGGCCCCGCCGGGGCCGTGCTGGGGGACAGTGTCTGCCCTGGCCCCACAGCAATGTCCCTTTGAGCATGCTGGGGACGAGCCAAGCTGTGGTCTGGCCTTCCTGGCCAGCTTTGGCCCAGGAGTGTGGGGCACAGACTGCTCCTCGCACCCCAAAGCTCTTGGTGGCCCCTCTGTCCCCAGGACAGGGACCTTGGGAGTGCTGGAGTGTAAATTGGGGGGGTGTCTCTGCCAAGGGGGTCTGCAAGTCGTGCCTGTGGCTTCGGGCAGCATGGAGGTGCACAAAGCAGAGCGAGCCCTGCCCTGCCCCTTTCCTCACCGCGCTGGGTCGTTCCCTAAGCTGCGGCAGAGTTTTCTGGGGTACCTCGAGCTCCCTTCTCTCCCCAAAGGGTGGAGAGGAAGGGGCGGTGTCTCTGCCCCCTAAAACCAGCCTTGCTTTCTGCATGAGTGGGGTGAGAGTCCTGCAAAGTGCAGTCTCATCTGGTGTTTAAAATTCCCCTGTCAAGTGATCCATTGTCTGATGCCAAACTAGCTGGGCAGATTGTTTTCTTTATCCAAAGGGGGACGGATTTAAATAGACTAATCAGAGTTTAACACAGGGCTAATGGTGAAAGGTTATCATCTGTCCATCCCTAACCCCTCTGGGGAGTCTCTTCTCCAATGGAGGTAACAACAGCAGTGTTGGCAAACCCCCTCCCTCCTGCCCTGCCTTGGTAGCTCGCTACAAAGAGAATTTGACCTTGACGTGGGGTTTGCGGGCTGGCACGGGGCAGATTCTTTCTCTGCCTCGTCACTGCTGCTGCCCTGGGTATTGTTTTGTTTATGGAAATTTCTGCATGTGCATCTGAAACGTGCTCAGCGCTGGGGTCGCTGCCCAGTGTGGGGGCACAGGGGACAGCTGAGGGCTGGGGAGGGTCCTTCAGGATGATACGTGGGGTGGGACGGCGCCTGCAGCCGCAGTGTTTGCAGCCCAGCAGCCTTTTACCCCGGATAGAAGCCATTTATTTTGCTAACGTAAATGTAACTTTCTTATTTCTTGCACAGGACTTTGGTGACGTTGTTTACACTTTTGAAATACCTTTCCATGGCAAGACCTTTATTTTAAAGGTAAGAACCTCCCTGGATCACTTCCGCAGCCTGTGTGGTGCAGGCGAGGAGCGATGGCCGTGCTCAGAGCCACGGCTCAGCTTTCACGCTCTCCCCTGGCCCCAGCAGGACAGGTCAGGCTGCAAACCACACTCTCTTTGCTGGAGACAGATGAACCACACCGCACGCTCTAGGGAATCTCTCCAGGAAAGCCCCTTGGCTGGCAGACAAACTCCCCAGCAGATATATGCTGGGCCCCAGTCTCTGCTGGTAGAAGTGGGAGCAGGTGACTGCAAGATTCGTTTCCAACCCCAGCATCTAGGACTAATCTGACCAAGGAGGCTAATTGCAACTAATTGCCAGCAAGACCAGGGCTGAGCGTGCGTCTGCTGCTGCCTGGCATGGGGAAGAGCTGCTCGGAAGTGCCGTGCTCTGTGCCCTCTCGCTGGAGAGGCTTGGCTGGGAACCACGCTTTAATGAAGCATCGGGGCTGCGGTGGCTTTTCTTTGTTCCAGTGCATATGCTGCCTCGCTGGCACGAGCTGCCGATGGAGCAGCTCTGTATCCGATGGAGCAGCTCTGTATTTGTGAGGAAAAAGCTGGATGCTCCCACTTTCCTGCATTAACCGTTTGCCTCCAAAGATCCCCTGTCCCACGGGGACGTGGAGAAATGGATGTTGGCTGTGCTGGAGCTCGGAATAGCTTTTCAGCAACTTGCCGAAGCAATTGTGTGCACAGCAGAACTGCTGATAAATGGGGGTGAGGGTGGGAGAGGAGCCAGCCCCCAGGTCCGTTTGTCTCGCTGTGGTACAGACAGACACTTGGCTGTTTTCTCCGACTCCACGTGTGCCCCCCAGGCCCCTGGGCGCGAGAGGGTTGCCAGCCTTGGCTCTGCGTGTGCTCAAGCCACGCCAGCCTCGCTGCTCCCCTCCTGTGTTATCCCCGTTGTTCTTTGCGATCTGCCCTGCGTTCCTTAAAAATCATCTTCCCAAGGTGGAGTGGGAGGGTGGCTAACGGCTCCGGCTCTGTCCTCAGGCTTTCTTGCAGTGCTCTGCTGAAACGGTTTACCAGGAGGTTATTCTCCAGCCCGAGAAGATGATCCTGTGGAACAGAACAGTGGCAGCTTGCCAGGTGAGTGTGCTGGACAAAGATGGCTTAATCACAGGAGCTCCTTGGAGTGGAGAGTTGGAGCTTCCCAGTCCAACGCCGGCTGGCGGCGGTGCCCAGGCCCTGCTGGAGCTTCGCTGGATCCGAGTCACTCGGGCGTTAAATCTCCGCCGCTCAGCCGTACGATCCGAATGCTCGGCGGTCGCCAGCTGCATGCGTGCGCCTGTCCAACAGCCCATGAGGTGGGCAGGGCGCTGGGCCAGCGCCGGAGCCGAGCCTGCTTTGCCTTGGGAGGCTTTGGGCGTTTAGCACCGGTGGTGTGGCGGGGAGCTGGCGGCAACGCCTGGGCCCCCCCCAGAAGGGCAGAGGGACCAGTCCCAGGGCAGGACACAAACCTGGGAGCACTCTGCCAAAGAGTTCATCCCCCTCAGCCTCAGATCAGCTGCTAAAGACACTCTGGCTGCTTTGAATCCTGCTGCTGGTTTAGGGGAGGGTCCGTATCGCCCGGCTGTTGGCACGTGCAGACCTGTGGGCACAGTCTGAGGAAATGTCTTTTTCCCCCCCGCAGATCTTGCAGCGGATTGAAGACAACACGATCGTCTCGTACGACGTGGCAGCTGGGGCTGCGGGCGGTGTCGTTTCCCCAAGGTCAGTTTTATTCCACTGTTTCATCCTGAACCCCTAAACACCCTCCTACAACACGGAGAGAAGCCTCTGTCCCGGCTCCGGGAGCACTCTGCCCCGGCTCTGCCGCCCGTCGCTGCCCGGGAGCT